GCACACTCACGCACACGCACACCCCCACTCAGCAGCACAAGCCTCCTTCCCTGAAACTCACTGCGGATGCTCAGCCTAAAATAAATTAGGCAGTGCAATGGCATTTCATCTTCTGAGGCCAATCTACACGGGTGTGTAACTTGCACACTGCTACAAAGAAGATTCTAGATATGCCACCCTTAAAACCAAGGCAGCCAAGGTTCCTTAAGCCTTCCAACGCTGCTGATGGCTACAAACCCTTACGCAGGCTGAAATGAATTAATTCCTGGTCAGTTCCCTCTATCAACAAAACAACAAGCCATATTTGAAAATATTCACATTTCAGTACCGTTGAATGCATGTTCTAATGTGAGGGCTCAGTAGGTTATAAGAAGCTAGAGAAAAAAACCTTCGATTTTTTTATACACAAAAGAGAGCTTGCCAGGTAAATCAGCATTAAAAGGTCCCGTTCAATAAAAGGCCTTTTGAATTAAGAAATCCTTTTTCTTCAAGTTCTCATGAATTGCAAGCCAAAGTTATGAAGAGCAGAAGGAGCAAAAAAAGGATAACTTTTTGCCTCAAAAAGATGCATGAAAATAAATCTGCTTCCAAAGGAAGTGACGGTCCTCATTTGTGTCTTTCAAGTTGTCTGGGAGTGCCAGTCAGGGGAAGTATTTGCGTTGCAAACAATTCTGCCTTTTTAAATGTTAAGTATCCTTTATTCCTGGACACCAACCAGAGACAATGGAAAGAAAGGGAGACCTGGGCATCCAGGCAGAAAGCAGGCCTTGTCCCGCGGCCAAGATGAATTTAGGATTCTTGTGCAATACAATGTTAAGGCAGGAGTGTTGAGTAGCGATGTGTAATGAACTCCAAGTGGCTGCTTTTCAGATCTCAAGAGCTGAAACTGACTTGACGCCCGAGACGGCTGCTTCCCTGCTCAGGGCATTCAAGCGACGATGGCACCGGGGAATGACAATGAGAAGGACACAAAGACCCACCACTTCAGCGCCACGTCCACGGGTGGACGTGGGCCAAACCAGCAGGGGCAACAGACCCCTCGGGCAGTCTGTGCGTAACAGTTTTAAAAAGCTACTAGAGAGTAGACACAGAAAAGAACTTAGGCGTGGATGGCCATTGAGTAAGCTCAGGTTCCCTTGGGCTGCCAGGACGCTGGGTCTTTCGTATGAACATCACAAAGCGACCTAGGACACCACAGGACTTTATGGAGTGAAATTTCTCCTATCAGACAGCCAAATGTCATTCTGTTGACTAATTGATGGTTTTATGAGAAATAGCATCTCATAATTGATTTGCTAATAATGCCTATTATCTCCATTATTGTTCGCCGTGACAATCCCGTGAAGTGGCTGTGACAGGTATTAGTATCTCACTCTGCAAGCAGAAAACAGCGCCAGGTAGGGAACTGCTTGCTGCATGTGCAAGCCTTGGCAAGAGAAGCCAGGCCAGAACCTGGGGCTCCTGGTCTCTTTTCTGATCAGTACCCACTGAGAAGCCAGGCCAGAACCTGGGGCTCCTGGTCTCTCTTTTCTGATCAGTACCCACTGCGAATCTCACAGGGAACGGGAGGTCTCCCCAGGACTCTGAAATGTTCCAACGTGGTCGCGGTGTCATCGGGTCACCGGGTTGGAACACGGTGCTAGCAAGGCAAGACGATGATAACTGCGGGGTGAACTGTGAAAAGGAACAACTAGTCTGGCCCCATTTCACGGCCCCCGATCGCACCCCAACTCCACTGAGCACCTCATAGAGGGAGTTGTGCACCAGGGACGCCACCTGTTTTATGTAAGGCAGGAGGACAGAGCGGGAGATGGTCCTTATCACAACTCAGGGGAGAAGACTCAACAGAGTTTGAATCATTTACAAGCTAACGATGGCTTTTCATGATCAAAGACTTCACGTTATTCTATGCTAGCAAAGGTATAACTGATGTGGAACCTCTCTATCCACATGAGAGGCAAACCTCCCCACAAGGGCAGTCGCCACCTGCTGCCACCCAAAGGTTTACATTTTTAATTACCCCAGTCCTTTGTGACCTCCCTTCCCAAAGGACAGAAGTCAGTGAAGACAGAACTGTCTTTGGTCCAGGTTAGAACTTTCTCCTTCTAAGATTTTCAGAACGCCAAGGACCCATGACTCCCTGACCCACTCCCACAGCTCATGTTACAGACTCCATCCATGTCAGACCAGTACCCCTGGCATCCCGCTCCTTTTTTCCTGGACGGATCCTTCATTTTCTGTTTAATGACCAATGCCTTTAATGTGAAGTAACTCTGCTTTGGACTTGCCCACCAATTAGAAATGATCCATAAAGTAGTTAAAGACAGGTAAGAAGCATTTTTTAATTTCCTTTTCCCTTAAGCAGGGGTCTATGAGAGGTCCTCAAAAAATTCATGAAAATTTTTTTTAAAGATTTATATATTTATTTGAAAGGCAGAGTTACAGAGAGGCAGAGGGAGAGAGAGAGGTCTTCCATCCACTGGTTTACTCCCCAGATGGCCACAACAGCTGGAGCTGTGCTGACCGGAAGCCAGGAGCCAGGAGCTTCTTCCAGGTCTCCCAAGAGCTCCGCAGGGGCCCAAGGACTTGGGCCATCTTCTACTGCTTTCCCAGACCATAGCAGAGATCAGAAGTAGAGTAGTCAGGACTCGAACCGGCACCCATATGGGATGCTGGCACTGCAGGTGGCGGCTTTCCCCGCAACGCCACAACACCAGCCCCGTGGAAAATATTATCAAGAAATGCTGCATGGATTTCAAAATTTTTGCATCAAAACAATCTATTTTTTCATGTCATTTTTCCAAGAATGTTTTCAAGCACCCTTGTGTTATCAGGCACTAACTTCCAGGGAAGATACACAGCTGCACGGGCATTCTGCTACATACTGCTGTTACTGCTTCCGAGCGAGAAACCAAGGCTCCCTTTGTTGAAGGAAGCACAGCCTGGCCGTGGCAGAGCTGGGGTCAGGGCACAGGAAAACTCATTCATTCACTTTTTGAAACCCAGTTTTATATCTGAGGCGAAGCGTGGGATTTGATGAGCAGTTGGAACCTCAGAACGATCATTTCATGCAAAAGGCACAGCCACGAGTGTCTAAAGGAGCAAGCGACCCTTGCACAGAACTGGATGCCGCTATCTGGTGTGTCCTGTCGGTACCACTGGCTTTCGGTGTCTTTTGGAGTTAAGCGGCTTTAGTTGTGGGACATTGGGAGGGGGTAAGAACACCAGGAGTGAACTAAGGAGTTTGAAAACTGCTGTCTTTGAAATGCACATCTATATGAACACTTGCATATTAATTAAAGAGTAAATCAATATTTTTTAAAAAAAAATCAGTGTGACTTTCTGGTGATGGAAACATCAGCACAGAAGAATTTGGAACACTGTGTTCTGTGACTTGCGTGTATTAATACTCAGGAAGTAGTTGTCCGTAAGCCCGTTTTGGGGTACGGGTTTTGGCAAGTCTACACGATGCGTGCATTGCGCGGCGTGTGAGTCCAGCAGGCCAAGAGCACAGCTCTAGTTCTCGGAACAGAACGGTGGCTGCCCACACAGATGTCCCCTTGTTCCAGCCCGGTGTCATGCCACACCTGGCTTCAGTTCTGCCCAACCAGGTCTGTGAGCTGCTGTTGGCGAATTTGCATATTGCAGATGCAACAGTTAAGAAAACTGAGCGGTAACATACTATTTTCATAGCAATACGGTATATGTGATAATAATATAAAATTGAAAGTTGTGCTGGAAAAGGAAAAATACCAGAAGTTACATGGACTTTCGACCTGGGTTAAAAGCCACCCTTAGAACCGCCGCCCCGGCCGTCCTGTGCATCCCGGCCAGTTTGGGCCCTTTAAGGGCACTTAGTCATTCTGGGATTGGGAGCCCCACAGAGCCTCGGCAACCATTGGCTGGAAAGGAAGGGTAAGAGTGTTCTGGCCAGGAGAGTTTGGCTCAGAATGGATAAATCTCATGAGCGACCTTGATTGGAAATTTAGAGTATCCAGCAATTAGCTTACCCAGTGCCTGAGGTGGCGGGGCGGGGGGGGTGGTCCCCGGAGCCCCAGTATAGTAAGACTGAATTTCTTAGAGGAAAAAAAAATCCTTAATTGTCTCTTGTCAGCCGACAAATAAACGGCAGGTGCTGGAGGGTAGATTTCCTCGCAGCCCTGTCACCTGGCCCTAACTGTGTGCGTCTTTCACAGAGAGCACGTGGTGACAAGTGCTGGTCAGAGGGTCCGATGCTGGGGACGGGGCTTTTCAAATGGCCTTGCCTTTACGTTGACTCATCTCTCACTGAAATCTGCATCGTCTTTAGCCCAGAGAGTGGCTCCTGGATGTGAAAGGCCATCCCTGTCGCTGTGACAGAACAACCGATCTCTCCCTCTGATACGGCTTTGCCTATCATCCCGACTTTTCTGCCCACACCCGTGAATACAAAATAATTTCTCTAGAGCCCCCACAGGAATCATTTATGAGCACACACACATAAATATATATACCAAATTGTTATGATGGAGACTACACAATAATAACCAGCATGTCATTATTAAGTTAGCTTGTTTATGGATGACAAGTTTTCCGCCTTATACTATGGGATGTGACACTTTTTATGCTGAAAAAAACAGAAACTTATGATCCCCTTGGGAACAATGGACACAGAGATGCGGATTCTCTATTTGATTTTTTTTTCAATTGCACATTCAGGAAAATTATTGTTCTATTTTTTTTTTTTTAATTAAAGAAGAACCCGGCTCTCAGAGCTCTCCCGCTCATCTTTCTGGGGGAGGCAGCACAACCCCGTTTGAGACGGAAAGAGGCCGCACAATGCGCTTATTAAGGAACTTTCCTGGCCAACCGCTGAAAAATATCCTAAAGTGTGACCATCACATCTGCATCAAGTTATGAAAAAGGGAGGCTTGTTAACCTGCTGTTTGGAAACCAGAACACTTTATCAGCTCCTATAATTGCTCACCCCTTATTCACTGCTCGAAGCTGGCGAGTCCTTTACCTCCTAAGACCCCACTAATTGCTGACAGATTTGATTTCTCCGTGACAGCAGGAGTCCTGGTTCTGGCCTTTACATCAAGTAATTGCTTTATTTTTCTCCCTCTGCTCTAAAAAACGGAATTCCCTTCTCCCCTGCTTGAACTCCTTTAATGGCTTCTTTCTCTGTTATTAAATCCTTGCCATTTAAATCACATTTAGCGATGTTTTGAATAACTGATTCCAATTACTAAGGCTCTTACCAAGAAGCAGCTGAAAACGCGAGTCCTCACTTGCCCACAGCCAAGCGCTGCACCTTACAGCCAGGTCTCCGGTGAAGTGGATGGTGTTTTTCCTCCGTACGGGGCAATTTGTGCTCACGGGAGGCTGATTTCTGCAAATACACAGCCGACCGAGCTCCCCAGCACCAGCGTTTGTACATAATAGATATTAGATTTTTATATTTATTTTATAAATAGCCCAACTCCTTAAAGAAACCATCGCCTTCTTCCCCGAGCGGCCGGGGAGGCCACTTGCAACAACAGCACCGTGAACAGCTGACCGCTCCGTGACCCACCGAGGCCGCCCTTCCAAGGTCTAATAAAACGGCCGGCGGGCCCAGACGCACAGCGCCACGGAGCCACCACGGCTGCCCCGGCCAGCACTTGGCCTTGTCAGATGGTGGGTGGACAGTCCACCATCTTTTTTCTTTCCTCCCTTGGTAGTGCAGGGTTTCAGCAGAATACTACTACTACTACTAGTAATCGAACAGAATAATCCCTGCTTTCTTGTCGCCCTTCTTGCCACGCTGTGGGATGTCGCTGCCTTGCTGGGGTTTCTTTCCTCGGCAAAGGACGCATCTGGGGAATTTCACGGCCTGGCCGTGTCCCGGGTACCAGCTGTTTCTCAGTCTCATTGGACCTAAAGTGATCGAGGGGCCAGTGCAGTGGCACAGCAGGTTAAGTCCCTGCCTGTGAGGCCTGTATCCCCCGTGGGCACTGGTGTGAGTGGCATCAGTTTGAGCCCCGGCTGCTCCACTTCTGATCCAGCTCTCTGCTGTGGGCTGGGGAAAGCAGTAGAAGATGGCCCAAGTGCTTGGGCCCCTGCACCCGCGTGGGAGACCTGGAGGAAGCTGCTGGCTCCTGGCTTTGGACCGGCACAGCTCTGGCCATTGCAACCATCTGGGGAGTTGAGCCAGCGGATGGAAGACCTCCATCTCTCTCTGCTTCTCCTTCTCTCTCTGTGTAATTCTGACTTTCAACTAAATAAATCTTTAAAAAAAAAAACTTTCACTCTGATCAGTTTGGTGTAATCTGAAATCCTGTTTAGCCTTACCAACATGGTTAGTCTTCTTGCTGCATTTTCAGGATAAAACATGATTTTGGTATAGTGCATCCGTGAACGTTTATGATCCGCAAGGTATGGTGGAATTTTTATGTCTTTGGCTTTATTGTTATTCAAACTTATTGAGCGACCTCATATTATTATTTTACTTGAAAGGTGTGGAGACAGAGAAATAGAGAAAGAAAAAGATCTGCCATCACTGGTCCACACCCCAAATGCATGCAATTTCTAGTCCCGGAGCTGGGAACCCAATTCAGGTCTCCCATGGGGCTGGCAGAGTCCACCACCTGAGCAGTAGTGTGCATTAGCAGGAAGCTGGCAGTGGGAACGGGCCGGGGCGCAAACCCAGGGACTCTGCTACGGGATTTGGGCATCCCACAAGGCGTCTCACCTGCTACTCCGAGTTTGTTATTTTAAATAATGAATAACCAATGAACTGTTTAAACACACATAGCGTGCACCGGGTTTAGACAGTTCATCGGGTAATCTTGACATGGCCCAGCCACTGTGGCTGCCACACAGAGCCGGCGATCAGCTGGCAAACCTGAAGACAGAGCTCATGTGTCTTAGCGCCGACTGGGGCTACGGACGGCTATCACTGATTTTAAACTTGAGGTTGTTCCTGACGTTGAAAGAGCTCCGGATTTTATATCCTACATCTACACATGATGAGAGCTTTGTGCGTGCAGTACTGTTTGATTCTGCTATCCATGGTGCTAGATTCTACTTTGGTGGGGGTCCGTCAGGGCACCAGAAAATTCTTATGAAATAGAGCGATGACTTCTCTTTCTATTTTTTTTTTTTTTTGACAGGCAGAGTGGACAGTGAGAGAGAGAGAGACAGAGAGAAAGGTCTTCCTTTGCCGTTGGTTCACCCTCCAATGGCCGCCGCGGCTGGCGCGCTGCGGCCGGCGCACCGCGCTGATCCGATGGCAGGAGCCAGGAGCCAGGTGCTTTTTCCTGGTCTCCCATGGGGTGCAGGGCCCAAGCACCTGGGCCATCCTCCACTGCACTCCCTGGCCACAGCAGAGGGCTGGCCTGGAAGAGGGGCAACCGGGACAGAATCCGGCGCCCCGACCGGGACTAGAACCCGGTGTGCCGGCGCCGCTAGGCGGAGGATTAGCCTAGTGAGCCGCGGCGCCGGCCTCTCTTTCTAAATTCACAGACATTTTGGGTTACATCTTTTTGTTAAGAAAAGGCATTTAAGAAAAACATGATTCTATTATTGATCCTCCTCAAAATGGTGACCAAAAAGCCCATACACACACCATATCTGAAAGAACTTAAAGGAGGTTTCAGAATAACAGAGTGTGTCATGCACCTGCCAGGGCCCCACGGAGCTCCGGGGGGCTCGGGGCGTGGAGATGGGGAGGTGAGCAGCGAATTCACCCGGGGTTTTGTATTTCCCATTTTTAAACATTGCCTCTTCAATTATTTACCTGTGATATTTGTGAAGAGAGCTACCTTGGATGGCCCAGAAACCCCAGTCTTCTATTTGTCTGTGGAGAGAGAGGCCGGAGTGGTAGCATTGCCCATCGCAGCGCCTGTATTATTCATGTACTTCCAACCTAAAGGCCAGTACCTCATTCCCTCCACACCGGGCTGGTGCTTATTCATCCACAGAGACAAAGCGCGTGATGACTCTGGGACTGAGTACATATCTGCGGAAATGGCTCAGCCTTTGCCAGCATCTATGATAAGCAGGCGGCCCTCCATTCCTGCCCAGCACCCAGCACCCAGCACCCAGCACCCTGCCTCTCTTCCGTCCACTCAGCTCTCTGTTGGGAAATCCACTCGCAAAGGGGCTGCCACAACCCCTGTGCTTCTCTGAGGAAGCTTCTCGAAGGAGCCCTGGTGAGATGCAGGGGGAGCAGTCAAGACCGCAGGGCACTGGGCTTTCAGGGACCAGTTCATCCCATGGCACCGATAGGGGGCAGTAGAGAGTCTTCAGAGAGCCATTTAAGAGGGGAGAAACAAAAGACAAACCAAACAGGCGTGACAATGATAAAATGGCACCGCGGACAAATGGGCACTCGAGTGGTGCAGGACTGGGACTCTGGACTCAGCCTGCCTGGGTTTGGAAACTGCTGCCTATGCTGTGGAATCCTGGGCAAACGACTACAGCTCTCTGATGGGGATGAGTATAACTGTCATAAGAAGAATTGCAAGGCTAGTTTCAGGGTCTTTAGGCGTTCAGATCCGACTCAGAGGAGCTCATGACCAGGGTTAGGGACAGTTGGCAAAAACCCTATTTGCTCTTCATGGCAGCGATTTGATAAATGTTGCAGCTTTCCATCTGGCAAAGATTGGTTTTGGCCCTGATGGTCTCCACAGAGTGGAATCAGCAAGTGTGGGGAAATGTGCTGCTCTCTGCAAGACACAGGAGGCGTTCGTGCAAGGAACTCTTCTGTCTGCGTGGTCTGGTACAGGTGCTATGGGCCAGGGGCCGTGAAGGGGCCAGTGACTCGCTGGGTCAAGGGAGCCAGCCGGCCCGGAGAAAGGCCCTGGACAATGACTCAGAGGACCAGGCCTCCAGTACTGGCCTGTCTGGCCTCAGCCACATCCCTTCCTCCTGCCCCACGTCTCCTTAGTCTTAGAGCTTGAAGGGAACTGAATGATCTTCACGTCTGTCCCATCTTTAACGTTTAGTGTTGTGAAATAAACCAGTCTGGGAGCTGGCACTGTGGCATAGCAGATAAAGCCGCCACCTGCAATGCTGGCATCCCATATGGGCGCCAGTTCGAGTCCCGGCTGCTCCACTTCGGATCCATCTCTCTGCTATGGCCTGGGAAAGAAGTGGAAGATGCCCCAAGTCCTTGGGCCCCTGCTCCTATGTGGAAGACCTGGAGGAAGCTGCTGGCTCTTGGCTTCGGATTGGCACAGCGCTGGCCATTGTGGCCAATTGGGGAGTGAACCAGCGGATAGAATATTTCTCTTTCCCTCTGTTTTTCCTTCTTTATCTGTATAACTCTGACTTTCAAATAAATAAATAAACCTTAGAAAAAAAAAGAAAGAAATCAGTCTGATTTCAGGGGTATAGCTTTTGGTTTCTTATCATATTTATGCCTAGACAGAAGCACAGTATTATGAAAGATACAATATGCAGATACCCAAGATACAAAATACAATATCATTTAAGAGCATACTAAATATTCCAAAGAATTTTATCAGTCGTGTGTGTGTGTGCATGCTGGTAGGAAGACATTTCAAAATGGGAGAAAAATATGTTCATTTTGGTGCAAAAAATTTGTTGGAACTCATGCATAGTTTTCCCCTTCTACACACTTTCCACAAATTTTTTGGGAGACCCCTCCTAGGGAGGTACATGTGTGTGTGTGCACATGGTCGCCTGCAGTCCTACACACTAAAGTAGCCCTGGGGAAGGCATCATTGTTTGTCTGGTGCTTGTCCTCCAAGTCCTTAAGTGACTGCCACCTGTGACGGACGCCAAGCCTTTCAGGGCCAAGTGCTCAGGGCGCCGGGTGTCACTTGACCTTGCAGTCACTTTCCAGCAGGAGGGACCCGAAAGGATGGTGACACCGTTGTCTCTGGTCTCCAAGGAGCAGCCTTCGCCTTGAAAACAAGCCTTAGCATCCGTCAGGAAGGCAATTTTTCATCTTCAACAGTAAATCCTTCTTTTAAATGTCAGATAATTTTTATTTATTTGAAAGGCAGAGGGATTTTTCATCTGCTGGCTCACTCCCCAAATACCTGTAGCAGCCTGGGCTGGGCTTGGCAGAACCAGGAGCCAGGAGCTCAGCCGGGGTCTCCCAGATGGGTGGCAGGGGCCATCACTTGCTGCCTCCCTGTGTGAGCATTAACAGGAAGCTGGGAGTGGAAGTGGAGCCGGGACTCGAACCCAGGCACCCTGACACGGGGTGTGGGCCTCCGGAGCAGCACCTTAGCTCCTGTGCTAAACTCCTGCCCCAACAGTAAATATTTGTTTCCTTGCTTTAAACAGAGACCAGAAACACAGTTTAGCATTAATGACTATTAATGACTATGACATACTATTTGTGATGTATACAATACAGACCATAACACAGCCCCAGCGCGTGCGCCCAGGTGGTTGGGCACTTGAGCGTTTGTCAGTTCTTTAGAACCTGGTGAAACTACCGTGAAATTCATCTAGAGCATTCATTCGCCAGAGAACATCTGTGCCCTTAATGAACAGTAATTAAACGCACAGCGGCACGCCCGGGAGGTGACGGAGGGTGAGTAGACTCACTTTCTAAAATAGCTCGTCTTCAGACCTGCCGCCTGCCCTTCCACGTGGGTGTTGGCACTCGGGAGGAAATTGAGACTTAATTCCAATTTTTCCCATTTCCACAGGACCTGGGATTCTTCTCAAAATACCTGTTAAGTCTGAGAATCAAAGTCCTCACTAGGTCATTTTCCGATGCAGCCAGGGGTGGTGGAAAAGTACCAGTGACAGTTCCTAGAACACGCTGTTGCGTGAGGAACCTGAGATAAGACCTTGGTCCTCTCTGATCCCGCAGGAGAGGGCGCGTTCAACCCTGTCCAAGACCGTACTGGACTCCAGTGAGCAGGACTTCCTCCCTGCACCAGTGCACATCTGGCATCAGTCACGGTGGCCAGGGGCACGTCCTGCAGTCTCTGGGTGACCCGAGCGGCCCACCCCTTCTCCTGGGTGCTGCCCATGCTTCTTGCTAGGGGGCTGCAGGCCTGTCCTCCCCACCCCCACCCCACCTTGTTCAGTCTTCACTGCCTCTGTCATCCATGTCCCCTGGGTCCCCTCCGCTGTTGGGCAGCAGGCGCTGACCCGCGACTTGAAACGGACTTGTTAGTTACGGTGGCGCCGCATGCGTCAGAACGCCTTCACCTTCCCGGTCCTGTCTGTAGCTCCCCGGCCCTCGTTCTGCCCACAGGCATGGCTGTTCCCAAGCTGTGCAGCAACATGTGTCCAGGTGGCTGCCTCCAGAAACGGACCCTGAAACACGGATTCAAACGAGGGAGTTTGTTGGGAGACCAAGTAAACACGCATGGGCAAGTGAGGAAAGGAAACAGAGAGGGCACCCAGGCGGAAAAGGGAGCATTATCAAGCCAGCCAGAGCCCTGAGCCTTGTCACCTTCCTGCAAGGGGGTGGCTCTCGAGGGGGCGGAGCCGGGCTGCTCCGCCCCCACTGCCGTGGTCAGCCAGTGAGGACGAGCGTTCCAGTCCCGGGCACTCTGCCCAGTGGAGAAGACCCCCCCCTCCACGCCCCTACCCTACACCCCGGGCACAGGGGCGTCCCTGTGGGCGGTCAGGAGGCTTGAAAGCCACAAGTTAGACGGGAAGGGGCTGGGTGGCTTCCAGCACGCTGGGCACAAGCACAGCCGCTGGGACTCCTGGACCTCCAACGATCTGAGCATCGTGTAGAGAGAGGAGCTCCGACTGCAAGCCTGTCTCGTGGTCTCCCCACACCAGCTTCTTCCATGGCCCCATTCCCAGCTTCCTAGCCTCTCCGCCTTCGGCCACCTGCTTCCCTGCCGGGTCCTGATCGCTCCCGCTGCTGGCCCCTCACCTCTTTTTCCCACTCCTAACCAGCCTTTGTCCCAGGGCTGACTTTTTTCATCACCTCCATCGTGCTAGGTTCTCCTCTGGGGCTTTTCCCTGAACGGTTCTAGGCAAAGTCCAGGGGTTTTCCCAACTTTTCCTGACCTTGGCCTCAGCAGTCAGGAGTGAGGTCAAAGGGGTCTGATGATGCACCCCCTTGCACCTGCAGGGCGCTTGCCTTCGCAGTTCACGTGGAACGCAGAGCCTGGGGGTTAGAATCAAGACGCTCAGTTGCTTCTCGGTGCTCTTATGGACCAATTCTGTCCCATCATGTTGGCCAAGTGGTCGTGCTGCCAAGTGTTGCTTTCCTGAGCTGTAAAACAAGAATAATCATGGTGCCCCCCCCCCCAACACACACACACTTCACAAGCGTTTCTGCAAGGCTGAGCAAGGCAGCCGGTCCAGGAAGCATCACCAGTTGCTTTATGCGTCTGCCAGCTGATTTTCCACAATTTTTGGTGCTCCCAGAAGTCTTGAGGGAAGACAGGCAAGGTAATGTTTTCCTTGTTTGAAGGTCAAGGGAACAGAGAAGGTTTTCTGCCTCTCTGCAGGATCGCCAGTTCTCGATTGCGTTCAAGGAATTATTGCAGCTTCAAACCCACTCACACACAAGACACATTTGTAATGCTCCGTTCTCCAAGAGTAAGGCAAACGCATGGCATTCTTTGCATGAGTCCAGGCACAGATCTTGAGATCTTGGAACACGTCAAAGAGTAGGATACGTGGGTCATTTGGAGGAAGTTTTGCACTCCCTCTTAACATTAGCCGCAGAGTTACTGGGATAAGTCATTTGAGATCCTAGAATGTACTCGGAGGCTTGGTCTCAGAAACCAAGAACTATGTACTTATCTGTTATTTCTCTTTTTAAAAATTCTTCCCAGTGACTTTTAATTTCCTAGATAGGGGGCAGCCAGCTTTTTTGAAGAAACTCATTTATTTCGGCATCTCGCCCAGTTCCTAATGTAAACCTCTTTAGGGGCTGATTTAGAGGAACTAGGACAGGACATACAAGACAGTTCCCCTGTTCCTGGGAGGCAATTTGCATCTCTTAAAGATGAAGAGGCAGAGGTTAAACATAAGCTGAAACTCATCAGGACTTATAGACCATGCGATTTTTTCTATATATCATTTCACACAAATCCATTTTTAAAAGTTGAATATGTGATTTTTAAAGTCAAATGTCTACAAAGGCGATTGGACTGACCCGAATCTGCCTTCAGTGTTTAATGGGAAGGATGCTGTGAAATTTGAAGCAATTTTGTTGTCCGCGCACACATTCTTTTTTAGGAAGAAAAATCTTTCTTTGCTCCACATTCCTCTTTGTGCCCACAGAAATGCTTGATTTGGTTTGGTATGAGTCAAACAAACTATTCTCATCACAAGTGGAGCAAAGAAAAAAAGATCTTTTCATTCAAGTTATGGGTTCTGGAAAAATCTGCGTAAACGCAGCCGATGTGGCTGTAGCTGTCGGCCACTCTTTTGTGAGTGCTCTGTGGAACAGTTATTTTCCTCCTGTACCCAACAGGGAAAATAATGGCGCACAAAAAAATCCGCGCATTAAAGAAGAGCAGATCTAGCAAGTGCTTGTGGGCGCCTCTGCTTTCTCTCTCAGGAACGCTCACGCGTGTCGACGGAGACTTCTCCCTTCTCCCTCCGCGTCTTCCCCACATCGTGTGCTTCCAGCCTGGCGGGTGTCGGGGTGATCTGCATGGCAGGATTCACACTGACTGCCACGTGACGGTGGGCCACTTCTATGCAGCCACAGCTGCCCCCTGTGCTGCACTTTGGTCAGCGCATTTCATAGAAATAACTGTGGCTCTGAGACCACAACGTGTCAAGGTGGACCTGTATCGAGGCGGAAGTGAACATGAGCCAGAGAGAGAAGTCCACCGTTAGCCCTGTCCACTAAGGCGAAGCGCTTCTGAACAAATGAAAAGGTGAAGTGGCATTGTTGATCTCGGGGGGATGGAGGTAAAACCTCCACAAACCCTGGTGCTGCTGGATTCACTGGAGGACTCCGTACAATAACTGGGAGATAATAGAATAACTTCCCCAGTGCACTAGGACATAGCTATGGCCCCCTTGAGGATATCTCGTGTAGCGGGCAAGGCTGGGAGAGTAAAACCCGAACAGGCCTGAGGAGTCCAGAGAGGTTGGAACTGTGAGGAAGCCTGTGGCTGTTGGCAGGCTCCCGGACTTCATGAGCTCCAGGAAATGGCTTGGGAAAACCTCTGAGTTTCCTGGATGTGAGAAGCTGGAATACTGTCCAGTCTGCCCACCTGACTCCACGCCAGGACACAGCAAAATTTCTAAAAGCCTCGTGGAATGCCCATATTGCAGTTGGCAGCACTGGTGTCTAAGAAATCTAGTAGCATTGGTGTGTAAGAAACCTTGAAAAGAAGATCAATTTGTTTTCCCTTCTGAAAAACCAACATCAACCTCAAAAGCTTGAAACAGCTCTAAAATTGTTGCTGATTCTCCCATAAAATATTGGACAGAAGTGCCAGGCCCCATTCTCTGTAGTGCTACCCACTTTTCTAATAAGCTTTGGAGACACTTAAGTCTCAGAGGTTTTGTCATTCTGGTTTGAGATCTTGGATGACATAAGAACACTAAACCAACAAGTAAACGTCAAAAGATGAAAAACCTCTTCGACTGCATTCTGGTTTTCATAAAAAGTATAGATTTAATAAGTTTCCAAAGGAGAACAGAATGGCCGTGTTAGAACCCTGCCAAAGTCAGAAACTTTGACAGTCCCACATACTGAGATGAACAGGAAAATGCATTTCACAAGAAATAAAATACAGTTTTCGTCTTCTGGATTCATTGAAGAAGAAGAAAAAACACATCTGTCCCAAATTTGTCTGAAGGAACTCAATGGCGTTTGGTTTTCCTGAGTGAATAGGTTCGCTCTTTCTATGGGGGTACCTTAGATGATTTAAAAAAAATAACTTTAATGCTATAATCAAATAAAACCAACAGGAAAAATTGAAACATGTTTTTTCTCTATTAACATCACAAGCTGGAAATAAAATTTTTCACAGATGTAGAAAGAAAACCAATATAAGTAATTAAATACTACAGGGTTGTTCACCACAGGGTTGTGTAAAATAAATAATTACAACACTTTGTGGTTGTCTGGTGTGATCTGAAACACGGAGGTAATCATAGGTTCCTGTGAAAATCGTATAGAATAATGTTTATAGCTACACAAACTTAGGGGGTATTTATTATCACTGAGTTGAACATTAACTTAGGGCAATGTAAAGAGATGGGGAACAGTATGGAGTCCTGGGTTCCAGTCTCAGCTGGGCTCCCCCTATCCAAATACCAACCAGGCCCCACCCTGCTGGGCTTCCGAAATCAGATGAGAATGGGCACATTCAGAAGGGTATGGCCGTAGACTATGCTTCTCCTTGGGCAAGTTTCTTAACCGCCTCGTGCCTCAGTTTCCTCATCTATAAAATGGGAGATAATAGTAGGATCTACTTCATGTGGTTGTTGTAGGACTCGAACGTGGTTCCAGATGGAAGTGCTTGGCGTCTGAGCCACAGTAAGTGGACTGCACGGTATTTCTGGTTCCACTGTTGGTGTGGTTGCTGCTGTCACTGTTGTTGGTGGCAGCGGTGTTAACCCACTCTTGCGCTCTGGGGAAGAATGTCATTGGCCAAGGTGACAAGGATGTCTACACAGCAAATCCCAGGGCTCACTTTCTCTGGATTCCCAAGCTGGAGGAAAGATGGATGGGACTGGGTTACCAAGTTCAGAACGGCCATGGCTTGGGTGCAAAAAGCATGGGGGAGCAGGTGGGAATGTCCTGTCAGAGAGGCTTCCTGCCGCACACGGGCCAGCTGCATCTGTATCTGGCGGGGGGGGGGCCTGAGGACCCCTGGCCCTGGCAGTGGATTTCCCAGGGTTTACCTTCTTCTGGAGGATTATAAGCGTATTCCGTAAAATATGACAAAACAGCAAATATCGAAGAACGTTGTCAAGCAGTCCTCTGGGACGGCCAGGTAGCAGTAGCCACAGGCAGCCTGCCTGGGCCAGGCTTAGCTTCTGGCCACCAGGAGACCAGGCCCACCAGTGCTCAGTCCAGTAAGGCCTTTACCTATAAAGGACTGCATGTGCACCTGCTCAGTCAACGCAGGAAACATTGCGGGAATAGGTAGAAGGCATCAGTGAAATGAACTGGCATTTTGGCTCTTGGCAGACAAAGGTCTGAAGTGTTGTTTTCTTTCAGCTGTTTTTTTTTCTCTGTAGAAAGAAAATATGCTTTTCTTGTGCTTGAATATGGGCCTTTTCTTCTTTTAGGAGAAGATCACCTGAAGCCTGGTAGTGCTGTGATGTTTCTTTTTCTTTTACTTTTCTATTGAGAAAGAGTTAAGGAAAACAATTCCCTGAGACAGGGCCTCTCTGACTTCAGCTGGCAGCAGAACGGTCAGGGCGGCTTTAAAAATGTAGATTCCGTGACCCAGAAGAAGCTCAAGGCTTCTGGCTTCAGATCGGCCCAACTCCGGTCATTGTGGCCATCTGGGGAGTGAACCAGTGGATGGAAGACCTCTCTCTCTCTCTCTCTCTCTCCCTCTCTGTCTGTAAATCTACCTCTCAAATAATAAAAAAAAAAATCTTAAAAAAAAAAAGATCTTGACTCATTCATAGGATGGGTCTCAGAAATCTACATTTTTAAAAAATATTCATTTTATTTATTTGAAAGACAAAGTTACAGAGAGAGGTAGAGACAGAGAGAGAGAGAGAAGTTTTCCATCCACTGGTTTACTCCCCAGATGGCCCCAACAGCCAAAGGTGAGCCAATCTGAAGCCAGGAGCCAGGAGCCAGGAGCCAGGAGCTTCCTCTGGGTCTCCCACATGGGTGAAGGGGCCCAAGGATTTGGGCCATCTTGTACTGCTTTCCCAGGCGCATTAGCAGGGATCAAAGTGGAGCAGCCAAGACTTGAACTGGGGCCCATATGGGATGTCAGCACTGCAGGCCAGGGCTTTAACCCACTATGCCACAGTGCAGGACCCGAATCTGCATTTTTTTTAAAAGATTTTTATTTATTTAGCAGGTAGAGTTACAGATAGCCAAAAGGGGAGACAGAGAGAGAGAGAGAGAGAGAGAGAAGTTTTCCATCCATTGGTTCATTCCTCAGATGGCCCCAAAGGCCGGAGCTGTGCCAATCTGAAGCAGGGATCCAGGAGCGTCTTCCGGGTCTCCCACATGGGTGCAGGGGCCCAAGGACCTGGGTCATCTTCCACTGCTATCCCAGGCCATAACAGAGAGCTGGATGTGAAGAGGAGCAACCGGGACATGAACCAGCGGGATGCCAGTGCCACAGGCGGAGGCTTAGCATACTCCACCACAGCACTGCCCTGAAGTCGACATCTTTGGCATATGGGAAAAAAAGGAAGAAATCATAAACCTGTCAGGGTGAGAAGCGTCTTTCAGAGAAAGTGATGATGATGCGGATTGCCTCTTCCATCGTGAGACTTGGAGTCTCGTGCTGACATGCAGTCTAGATATTTTCTATCTAACTGTCTCCATGCCTTGTTCCCAACCAAAATCCACATAAGTCCTTTTTGTTTGTTTTATATATACATATAAAATATATATATTTGATTATACAAGTCTTGCTTTTCATATAATATAAATTCAATTTGTTTCCAAAGAAGAGCATAGCTTTATGGTAAGTTGCACTTTTGGCATTAATAAGAATATAAATAAAGAACGAATGACTAGAAAAAATATAAGAAGCATGAGAGGGAAGCCATGAACTGGAAACGGGCTTTCCCTCCTTTTTAATGTGTGCGTTTAACGTCACAGGAAAGCCTCTGGCTTGTTTCTAGAAGGATGTAACACATGTGCTTAGAGACATAGTCATAATCCGCTCTTTCACACAGGAGCGCAGATAAGACCTAGTGAGATTCCTAAATACTTTCTGGAAATTTCCCAGGAATCACCAAGATGGCCTAGTATGAACAAAACTAACGCCATCCAAGAACAGAGCTACCAGGACGGTGCCGGATCACAGCTCGTTCTGTGGCTTGATGTTGCGGAAGGACTGAAGACCCCTTGCACCTAAAAGGCCCTTGGTAAGTAAGCCCAATCTATGTCTGTCAAGAATGGGGGTTTGGGTGCCCCCAGGCGCTGACCTTTACCTTTGTGGCACACACTCAGTCTCCCCTCTAGTGTGTCCCCGAGTTTTCAGGATGGCCTCCCTCCCCTTCCCCTCGCATCCCCCAGCCCTGAAACGTTCATCAGCTCTCCATCTGCCTAGGGACCGTCAGACATGATTACAGTCAGAGCCACGGATGTGTTTTTACATGAGTGGTGTGGATGAAGATGTGCCCTGTCTCTGTGACAGGACAGAGTAGTGACACCAGTGCGTCATGGTGTCTGAGAACTGAACCATGTTAACAGCCATTATACTAAAAAGGCACTGCTTCTTTGCTTGCAGAGGACTCTTCTAAGAAAGGGCTTGGTACCAGCACCATGGCATAGCAGGTAAGCCTGCCGCCTGCAGTGCCAGCATCCCATATGGCACTGGTTCGAGTCCCGGCTGCTCTACTTCCCATCCAGCTCCCTGCTAAGGTGCCTGGGAAAGCAGTGGAAGTTTTCATATGTATGTATTATATATGTGTATCTTTACATACACGCACACACATTTTTATGCATAAACTAAGACTTCTTCCTCTTACCATCTCTTTACAAAAAGTTCAGATAAAGGTCTTTTCTCCAAGACTAACAATAAAACCAACCAACACAAAGGAGTTTCAGTTTGCCGATAACAGTTTCAATTTGCCCAAATGAAGAAGCAACAAAACTCAGAGCACACACTGTCCCAGAGAAAGGCCTCCAGCCTACGAGGTATAGACGTAGAACGGAGCAACGCCGGGTCTCTGTCTCTCAGCCAAACCAAACCCATCCACAAAACGAGACTGACGTAATGAGGGGATCTTGGGGCTCCCAGTTCTGAAGTCCTGGCAGGAAGGGGAGAGAGAGCTCTGTGTCTTCCCCCGAGGGGCCTTTGCAGCAATCATGGACAGTTTTCCTTGAAAAATTACTTTTCTGCTTCCAAGGTAGCTTATATAACCCAGTGAAAATATGCAGAAGTGCTTTGGCTACGAAGTGAAATCAAATCAGTGAGCAGACACGGTGGATGTTTGACTCACTCTGATTGGCATCTTACACTGAATGACCCACAAAT